CATGATTTTTTTCTTCATTTTTTCATATAAAATTCTGTGTTGATCAAAAAAATTTTATTAGTGAGTGACACTTGACCTCCTGTAGATCGCGACTGATAAGATAAATAATTAGTGTATGCGTTGATCATATCACAAAACTTCATCTTTCAATTTTTTTTTAAAAAAATGTCTGTCGTAAACAAAAATCAAAGAAAAAACAAAAATAACAATCATGATGAAAGGGAAAGGTAAGTGTTTTAAGGATGGTGGTGGTTATTGCCACTTGTTGTCATTCTATAACTAACCCTTATTTATTTTTCAAAGTGGTGTTGGTGAAAGGAAAAGAAGAAATCCCCCACGAAATGACAGAAAGGAGATCAGTAAATTTATTAGAGAGGTAAAATAACAAATTTTTTATAATGTATTTATAATTAAAACAAGTTTTGAATTTTTTTTTAATTGTAGCCTCTTGGTATGTGATCATAAACATGCAATAGCCAATTTTTCCATTTTCATTTCATTTTTATTAATGATTTGCTATTTAATAGAAACAAGATATCCTGCTCCACTTTTAAACAATAACACTACTGATAATATTCATCCAAAATTTTATGATCCGAATAATGTTTTTGTAGTAAGAGATGAAGGTGCTGATAATTATGAGAATGTTGATAATGAAGGTGTCAATTATGATGGGAATGTTTATGATTATGATAATGAAGATGATGCTGATACCAATCAAAGTTTGAAAATCAAGGCCAAAAAAAATGAAAGTTTATTTGCAGCTATTGAATGGTCACCATGGAAATTTACTCTAGTGATAAATGGCATAAATATAGAAGACAGATTATCATTAAAGACTAGTGCCGTAAATTATGGTGATGGTAGTAATTGTATTTACGGCATATAAAAAGTGGTCACAATTACCTTTGTGACCACTTTTGCAACCATACTTTTTCCTTTTTTGGATTACGGCACTAGTCTTTAATTATCATCATTAAAAAAAACAAAAATAGCATCTGCTCAATTTTTTATTAATTTGAATAATCATGATCTTTGGCATGTTTTAGATCCAAATATTCAAAAATATTTTAAACAAAAATTACAAATTTTCAAGCCAAAGAAATCTATTACTTCAGATGTGACTGAGTCTTTAAGGAAATTTAATGTAGTAAGTAACCATCATAATAATGATTTAAATGATAGAAGCACATTTTTCTAACTATATAATTTTTGTCAAGTCATCAACAGATGCATTGAAAGGTGCTTTGTTAGGTTTACAGATAGATTATAACAATGATGATATGTTATATATCAAAAGAGTGTTTGAGAAATTGTTAGTAATAATATACTGTACATTCTTTTATTAATTAAAAAAAAAAATTAAACTAACATTTATTTCACACACACAGTTATATGTTGTTTCGTGACCATGGTGTACTCAATTTGGAAGGTCAGGAAGTGTTAGAAGGATGGTATAATAACAATATTATTGCTCCATTTTTTGATGAATGTTTTTCTTCACTTGGTGACTGTATTATTAGACAGTATTTATTGTGAATAAATTTTATTATATATAATCTTCTATTTTTTAAATTATTTTCTTATTCTACTCTTGTTAAATAGAGGAGAAGTGGAAAGTAAGGCACAAAAATATCTTAATTTTCGAAAGCAATCTAAAAGATCAAAGTATGATGGAATACTATCATTTAGCAACAAATTCGAGTTTATTTATGTTGAAACAGCACCAAAACCAGCAACATCATCCAAAAAAGTCAATGACCTGTCAAAGATTTATGAAGCAATCCTCTTAATGTATCAATTATTATTCATGAGTATTCCTGAAAGTATTGTTAAAGACACAGTTGATCTAGTATTCTTAGGTATCCAATTTACAGGTACAACTGCTGAAGTATATGCAGCAAATTTGCAGCCTAATATGCGACCCACAATATTTTCAATCATGACTTTTGATTTTCCAGAACAAGTCACTTCTCTTCCTACTCTAACAACAGCAGTAGCAAAATTTTTGTCTTTGAGGATATTTTTTTCTCCATATATATTTTTCGTTTTTATTTATCTCCTCTTAAATGATTTTCATTAACCCATATTTTATTAAACCTTTTTAAGTCATTTGTTAAGGAACAACAAAAAAAATATCAACAAATCCTAATTAAAGCTGCAAATTATTATTTAGAAGATGATAATGAATGGAGTTCACCAATCAAATTCACCAAATGATAGTTTATTTACACACATAAACAAACTACTTGCTTTAAATTTATAAATTTGATAGCAGCCAGTAAAATAAAATTTTCTATTTCAACATCTACCTTTTTTTAATAACAATAGTCAATCAATATAGTAATATAAAAAACACATTTGTAAATTTTCAAATGTTTTGTTATCTCTTTTCTGAATCAAGAAAATGCATCTGAAATCATATGTGGATCTTGAAAAATAATTAATGAAACTTTACATATTTTATTGATCTTGATTGCATAAATAAATTATTTGTTAAGAAAGAAGAATTT